GTCGTCGAACGGGATGCCCGCGTCGATGAGTATGTTGTGCAGAATGCAGACGGCGACGAATTGTTGCGGCAACGTCTCCGTGTTCGTCTTGTGGGAGCGAAGGAACAACCTCCACATCCCCTTCAATCTGCTGAAATCCCTCTCGACTGCTCCCCTTGTCGTCGTCTGCTTGTTGTCAAACCGAATCTCCGACGGGTGCTGTGATACACCGCCGTAAGGGACGACTACCCATTCCGAGGGGGGGTAACCGTTGTCGCCCAGTAGATAGTCGTTCGTTCGCACACCGAAAGGCAGCATGACAGGTGGCCCAGTGAAAAGCTCCCCTGCCTTTGCACGCGCCCACAAACTGGACAGGCGGATGATCCTCACGTCCTGGCAGCTCCCCGGGTATGCGACGAACACATCCAGCACGCGCAAGTTCAGATGGATGACCACCTGAGCCTGGACGGAGAAACGACGTTTTCTGTCGTAGTAGTCCTCTCCGGGGCAATTGGCTGGCTTGTCGATGAAGATGTGGGTACAATCGATGCAGCCATGGCAGTTGGGGAAACCCTTGTCAGCGAACGCGGGCAAGACGACCACCTTTTGCAGCCCCGTTGGCCACGATATCTTGTCGCGGTACGCACTCAGCAACGCCGAAGTAACATCCCGCAAAGCCACCACCCCTGACTTTCTGCCAATGCCGAAGCTGCACGTCCCGCTCTCGTACGTCTCCCCCGACGCCCATCTGTACAAAGCGAACGCTATGATGAGGTCAGGCTGGAGGGGCTCCCTATAAAACGTGACACGCCGTTGAAGGAAGGGAGACAGAGTTTCCGCTATCTCCCGGAACACCCGTGGCGACATGTGCAGCTTGTCCTTGAAGTAGTCTTCCGTCGCGTCGTCGCATTGCCGCAGATCCTCCCACACCCCCCCTGTTCGACGCTTCATCCACCACCTGGGCGTCGCTCTGGGAACCGCTCCACACCCCATGGCATAGCACACCTGAAGGACAGCGTCGCAAATGGCACCACTGCCCTCTTCGTCCACATGAATGGACTGCAGCGTCTTCTTCCAGCGTGCGCGAATGGCTGCTCTCGTCCTCCCCTCCGTCCTCTGCAATTGACACCTGATGAGTATCATGTTCACGGCCGCTGCCACAGCCGCCCTCTCCGCCTTGCTGAGTGTGTCATGAACCGCGTCCTCGTCCACGTCCATCGCTCGTCCTCGCCAAGTGAAGAAGGCTCGACTTCGGTGGGAACAACAGCGATGGTGCGTCGTGAAAACCCGACTGTACGGCGTGCACGTCGACGGCGAAGGTGCGCGTAGCGAAGCACACAACGTTGGCGATCGTGTGACGGCGGTCGTGCTGCTTCGGACGTATTCATGGACGTTCGGCGTGCCAGCAGCCGCCACGAAGCCGCCACCCCGTACCGAAACAGTCTCGGCGACGAACGTTGCTGCCGTCAGCCGTAAGGGACACCCGCGCCGCCGTCATTCGCTTACTGGGATTCAAATTTCGAAGTTTGAATCCGGGACTGCGCGCCGTTTTCGTAGCCTTTTTTTTTTTCGCTGCGTAAATTCGAATTCGCGCCGCCCACAGCTCCTGGACCAAGGGCGACGCCACGGACACAACCCGCTGGACCAACCTCGCCAACCCCCCCGCGTCCGCGTGTCGAAATATGCAACTGGCCGCGGGAGCACCCGAGGAATCGTCCTCGGGGAACATTTCCGACGATGAGTGGAACGAAGGCGGGAATTTCCTCGGGCGACTCCAAGGAATATCGTCCTCGGGCCCCGAGGATGCCCCGAGGAGTGTGGAACGAGCCCCTTTATCTTTTTTCGAATTAGCAGATTATTGTGAAATTGGGTGGGTGCACAACATTGTCGTTTGTTTGTAAAAAAATAAAAATATTTTTTTTTAGTACCCAAACGCAGTTTAACGGGACCCCAACCTTACAGCCCCATTTTTATTTGTATTTTTTCGGCCGTTTATTTTTCGAGGCACAAAAAAAAGTGCCCTCCCCAACCGCCCATGGCCGACCCTGGTGGTCATGTACCC